GGGGACAGCCAGTGATTAAAACAGTTAGGGCAGGTCACCAGGCTCTTTCAGACTCCATTAGGAAATGGCTCTGAGAGGGTTACTTGAAAGCAAGGGAAAGGTCTCCCTGTTGGAGGGGCTCTGTGGCTGGCCAGCCCCTTACTTTAAATCCTGGCCTACTCTAGCTACCCAAGAATCTTCATTAAGTGGCTTTGAAGCAGGAACTGCTACTTAATTTGCAGGGATCAGCACAAAACAAAAATCAATAATTTTGAGAAATTAAGATTAAAGTAGGCTGGGTGCAGTGGCTCATGCCTGTAATCCTATCACTTTGGGAGGCCGAGGCAGGTGGATTATGAGGCCAGGAGTTCGAGACCAGCCTGGCCAACATGGTGAAAACCCATCTCTACTAAAAATACAAAACTTAGCTGGGCATAGTGGTGGGTGCCTGTAATCCCAGCTACTAAGGAGACTGAGGCAGGGGAATCATTTGAACCCAGGAGGTGGAGGCTACAGTGAGCCAAGATCATGCCATTGCACTCCAGCCAAGGTGACAGTGAGAGACTATGTCTCAAAAAGAAAGAAAGAAAGGAAAAAAAAGATTAAAGCAGCAGAGCATTCAAGCAAGCATTAGGGGTCCTTTTGAGCACAGGCCCCTGGCTGTGTAGTTTGTACACTGGTCCAGGTCTGGAGACAGTTCAAGGCAGGCAGCTGGCCTGCACCATGTGTGTGAACTGAGTCACCCTGCCCTTTGTGGGGGTTGATGGGGATCTTTTCTAGGCCGTTGGCCTAGGCAAGGCTGATGACATGAGTGGGGCTTACCCTGGTCTGGGCTGAATATGATACACTGGGACAAGTTGAAGGGAGGGATATTGGAGTGGGGTGCTCCAGGGAGTATCATCTGTGTACAACAGGAAGTCCCTGAGCTTGGACACATGACTTAATCATCTCTCACAAGGTTCAGAGCAAAACCCAGAAGACCAGGCAATGATGCATTGAAACTGCCACTACCCAAGTGAGCATTTTCTTGTATCATTAAAAAATGTTTTATAGATAAGAGGTCTCGCTGTGTTGGTCAGGATGGTCTTGAACTCTTGGTCTCGAGTGATCCTCCTGACTTGGCCTCCTAAGGTGTCGGGATTATACTCATGAGACACTGCCCCTGACCTCCAACACCGTTTTAACATTTTGATATATCTGTGATTTTTGGATTATACCTGTTTTGTTACTTTCATTAAACAAAATTGACCTGGCCAGGCGAGGTGGCTCATGCCTCTAATCCCAGTATTTTGGGAGGTCGAGGTGGGCAGATCACATCATCTTTCTCCTGTGAGAGTTTGAGACCAGTTTGGACAACATGGTGAAACTCCGCCTGTACTAAAAACACACAAATTAGCCAGGCATGGTGATGGGTGTCTGTAATCCCAGCTACTCAGGAGGCTGAAGCAGGAGAATCTCTTGAACCCATGAGATGGAGATTGCAGTGAGCTGAGATTGTGCCACTGCACTTCTGCCTGGGCTACAGAACAAGACTCTGTCTCAAAAAAAAAAAACCTTCAAAAGCAGATTTTTGTCACTGCGCTAATCACTAACCATGGCATAAACGGACAAATGAAATGAGAGCAAAATAATTTATGCCTTATTTTCTTTGCCTTTGACCTTCTGCCCCATGCATTCCTGCAAATGCTTTGCCCACAGCAAACCTTTGAAGACCTTAACTTTTCTGTTTTAAGTGAGATTTCCAAGTGAATTGATTTTGTCTGGAAAGACAGTCCCTTTGCTGGAGAGCAATTGGCATTTGAAGAGAATGAGATCAGGCTGCTAAGGACATCCTTGTTTGCAGTTTTTGGTTTATATAAATTATTGGTGAATAAGAAAAATAAGTTTATTCTTTCTTTCGGATGGTAAGCCAGAGGAGAGGCGTGTTATGGGGTAAAGTGAGTCATGGGGCAGGGAGGCTCAGATGGAACAGGCCTCTCTTTCTTGACTTGGGACTTCTAATTTACCTACCAGGCCTCAAAAGACAAAGGTTTCTAATCTGGTTGGGTGGAAACAGATAAAAGTTCCTCTGGATGGATGGATAGGGGAGGGAAGGAGGAAGTTTGCAGAAACTGAAAGAGGACTTTTTTGGGGGAGAGAGGAATAAATCTCTTGTTTAATTACAAAACCAAAATATAATTTTCAGTGCCTTCCTTCTCCTACCAGTCGTTTAAGAAATTGACATGTAATTCACATGCCACAAAATGCAGCAGTTTAAAGTGTACCATTCTCTGGTATTTGTTTTTGAGACGGCATCTCGCTCTGTCACCCAGGCTGGAGTACATGGCGTAATCTCAGGTCACTGCAACCTGTGCCTCCCAAATTCAAGCCATTCTTCCATGGCAGGCTCTCGAGTAGCTAGGTTTAAAGACACGTGCCATTGTGCCTGGCTAATTTTTGTATTTTTAGTAGAGACAAGGTTTCACCATGTTGGCCAGGCTGGTCTTGAACTCCTGACCTCAGGTGATCTGCCCACCTCGGCCTCCCAAAGTGCTGGGATTGCAGGCCTGAGCCACTGCACCAACCTCATATTCTCAGTTTTTAATTGTTCTGTCAAAGAAATAGGAAGCCCACATATTACTTATCTATTTATCTAATGTTAATAGAGCTTTCTTATAACTAATGTTTACATAGATACCTTTTTTCATCCTGCTGTTTTCATCTTAGCTGTGTTTTTGTATTTAAAGGGTGCCTCTTCTACACATTAGATAGGTGGGTCATGTTTTTTTTCTGTTTCTTAAAATTCATTCTCACTATCTCACTTTCATTTGGAATGTTTAGTTCACTTACAGTTCAACGGAATTTCTAACTTATGCCATTTGTGTTCTTTTTTTATTTTTTTTCTTTTTGAGGCATTCTTGCTCTGTCTCTCAGGCTGGAGTGCAGTGACGTGATCTTGGCTCACTGCAATCTCCGCCTCCCAGATTAAGGCGATTCTCCTGCCTCAGCCTCCCAAGTAGCTGGGATTACAGGTGTGCACCACTGTGCCTCACTAATTTGTGTGTGTGTGTGTATTTTTAGTAGTGAGCCAGCGTGCCTGGCCTGTTTCTCTTTTGTTTATTGTTCCTTCTTTCCTGCCTTCTTTTGGATAAATGGAGTGATTCTTCGCATATCCTTTCAACTCTAGTGGCTTTTTTGCTGTATCGTTTTGCTCTATATTTTTAGTTATATATGCTTTCTTTAGCAATTGTTCTAGGGATTACAACACACACCCTAACTTTTCACAGTTCACCTGTAGTGCTTATGACACCACTTGGGCAATAAGGCAGCGAAAAGGAATGAAGCACAGACATGGGCCACATGTGGGTGAGCCTGACGCTTTATGCCAAGCCCAAGCAGCCAGTCAGCAAGGGCCACATACGGTATCATCCCATTTATATGAAATGCCCAGATGGGGAAATCCAGAGAGACAGGGAGCAGATTACTGGTTACCTAGTGCTGGGGGTGGAAGGAAGAATTGGGAGGGGTGATGACCAAGGATAGCAGGGTTCCTTGTCGGGGAAATGAAAATGTCCTAAAATAGATTGTGGTGATTGATGCACCATTCTGTGAGTATACAAAGAACCACTGATGTTGACACTTTATTTATTTGTTTGTTTGGAGATAGTCTCACTCAGTTGCCCAAGCTGGAGTGCAGTGGCATGATCTTGACTCACTGCAACCTACACTTCCCAGGGCCAAGTCATTCTCCTGCCTCAGCCACCCGAGTAGCCGGGATTACAGGCGTGTGCCACCACACCATTTTGTTTGCTTGTTTTTTTGAGATAGAGTCTGGCTCTGTCACTGAGGCTGAAGTGCAGAGGCGTGATCTCAGCTCACTGCAACCTCCGCCTTCCACTTTCAAGCTATTCTCCTGCCTCAGCCTCCTGTGTAGCTGGGATTACAGGCACCCCCACCACATTGACTACTTTTTTGTATTTTTAGAAGAGATGGGGTTTCACCATGTTGGCCAAGTTTGGTCTCGAACTCCTGACTTCAGGTGATCTACCCACCTTGGCGTCCCAAAATGCTGGGATTACGGGTCTGAGCCACAACATCCAACTCCATAAGGTAAATTTATATTTACCTTTTAAGAAACTGCCAAACTCTTTTGGAGTGGCCATGCTGTCTTATGTTCCCCCAGCATGTGTAAAGGCTCCATTTCCACACACCCTTACTTGATAGTAACATCTTTTTGTTTTCTGAGATGGAGTCTCACTCTGTCACCCAGTCTGGAGTACAGTGGCGCAATCTCTGCCCACTGCAACCTCTGCCTGCTGGATCAAGCAATTCTCCTGCCTCAGCTCTTGAGTAGCTGGAACTCCAGATGCAGGTCACCATGCTCAGCTAATTTTTTTGTATTTTTAGTAGAAACAGGGTTTTACTATGCTGCTCAGGCTGGTCTTAAACTCCTGACCTTGTGATCCGCCCACCTCGGCCTTCCAAAGCGCTGGGATTACAGGTGTGAGCCACCACATCTGGCCGTGACGTCTTTTTAATGTTGGACCTTTCTCAATAACATGTGCAGCATGGCTTTCTTTGCATTCAAAGTGTTTCATTGAAAGATTTCTTCATATGGATGGTGTGTGCATATTTTTGCATATTTATTTCTGAGAGTTTTGTTTTTTTGGGTGTGTGCTGTTGCAAATGGGATATTTTCTTCTCTTTTCTAACTGCTTGTTTTGTACATAGGAAGACTATCAGAGGTCTGTCATCCTAGCACTTTGGGAGCCTGGGGCAGGTGGATTGCTTGAGCCCAGGAGTTTGAGACCAGCCTGGGTAGCATAATAAGACCCCATCTCTATCTATCTATCTATCTATCTATCTATCTATCTATCTATCTATCTATCATCTATCTATCTATTTATTTATTTATTTGAGACAGGATCTTGCTCTGTCGCCCAGGCTGGAATGCAGTAGTGCAGTTCCAGCTCACTGCAACCTCCACCTCCCAGGTTCAAGCAATTCTCATGCCTCAGCATCCCGAGTACCTGGTATGACAGGTGTGTTTCACCACACCTGGCTGACTTTTGTATTATTAGTAGAGTTGGGGTTTTCCCATGTTGGCCAGGCTAGTATCAAACTCCTGTCCTCAAGCAATCCACTTGCCTTGGTCTTCCAAATTGCTGGGATTACAGGCATGAGCTGTGCCCGGCCCCATCTCTATAGTTTAAAAATTAAGAAAAAGGAAGGCTGTTTAGTATGTTCCTTTGTACCTAACTCCTTAGCAAAATCTGTCTGCCTCACTTTTCAGAGTAAATATAACTATTTCACCTTCTACTTTTTTCGTTAATGTCTTACTTTCCTTGCCTAGTTGCATCAGCTAGGGCCTCCAAAATAATAGTGGTAACAGAGGGCATTCTTTTGTTCCGAAGGTTGATGGAAGCTTCTATTGCTTCCATGCCTTACAAATGATGCTGGGCTTTGGCTTGATGGGTGTGTGTCTGGGTTTAATTTCCTTTATTGTGTGTAACTTAAGGAAGTATCACTCTTTCTAATTTGATAAGTTTCTTTTTTAAATTTTGTAGTGAATTTTGTCAAATGCCTTTTCAACATCTATGATGATTATGATTTTCAACATATTAATATAAATAAAATGTAAAGATTTAATTTTGAGCCATCCTTTGCACACTGTACAAGTCTCTCTTGGTTTAGGTAAGTTTTTTTTAAGCCCCAGTGGGGTTTATTTGCTAATATTTTATTTTGGATTTTTATACATTGATTTTTATGTAAATGTCTTGGTTTTTTGGGGAGATAGGGCCTTGCTCTGATGCCCAGGCTGGAGTGCAGTGATGTGATGACAGTGTATTGTAATTTTAAACTCCTGGGCTCAAGTGATCCTCCCGCCTCAGCCTCCTGGGTGGCTGACACTACAGGTATGTGCCACCACACCTGGCTAATTTTTAAATTTTTCATAGAGACAGAGCCTTGCTATGTTGTCTAGGCTGCAGTTCAGTGTACGTTGTAGATGTGAATATTTATTGGCCTTTCTGCTGGAATCATTCCCTCTCCCATCTGTTTGTCTTTAAATTCTGGGCATGCACACACACTCCACCCTCACATCCTAACTGCACAATATTGATATTGTCCAACCTGCCTTGAGAAGGGAGAACTGTTTTTCCCTCTTTGTATCTCAGCTGGTGTCCAGTCCACTGCTGTGTTTTTGGTAAATACTTGACCCACAGAGTGTGGGAGGCAGGAAGGGAAGGCTTCTGCATTTCCTTTGTGGACCCCACATCATGGATCCATTAAGCATATTGGGAAACCAGAAGGTCAGGTGGCTGCACACTCTAGTTGCCTCTGACTCTGAATTGTTCAGGGCCCCCTGCATGCCAGTGATTTTCTTTTCTTTGTGAGTTGTCTTTTCACTCATATTCCTAGGCTGAGTTCCCCAAAACAGTGGCTAGCACAGCACCTGTCACAGCTGTGGATGCATATCTGATCTTGCATGACCTGATTTACAGGGTATTTTGAACAGGAGCTACCTGTTGTGGCTGGGGATATGGCTAAAGTTTACTTGACTTCCTTTCATAAAGTAACTGGTAGAATATGTGGCATAAGGCTATTATTGCAAAAGCAGAAGTGGTGGGGGGTGATTGAGCTTGGGCAGCATTGGGAGGCAGACAGGCCCGCATCAGCACTGTCCTGGCCATTTGTAGGTTATATGACCTTGGGGGAATCCCCTCAACTCTGAGCCTTTGTTTCTTCCCTCATTAAGGAGATCATCCATTCCTCATTATACTATTGTAAGGCTTAAGATCAAACATCTTTCAAGGCACTGGGAGCAGTGCCTGGGCTTGGGGTCTTTAGGCTGTAACCATAGCAAACACTCAGATCCCAGCCACCCTCCCTTCTCTTCCCTCCAGCATGGGAATATGGAGGACCAACCTTCTCATTCCCATTTACCCTGGAGTTCTTTCTTCTGAACTTCATCTAGCACCTGCTGTGCACCTGGGATTCATGGGTGGGGAGGTCAGGGACAGCCAAGTCTGGTGTCTGGCCTTCAGCTTGCCTCAGTCCCCGTGGCTGACACCTGACCCTTTGCTCTGGAATCTGGACCCTACAATCTCCTACCAAAGTCTCAGCCCAAAGAGGGCTCAAGGGCACCCTCTATTGGTGAGAAGATTCCGTAGCTGCCCACGTCTCCCCATTTCCTGAGTGGATGGATGATCAGCCCCAGCAATCCAGAGACATATTCTTGGATTCTGCTAGCTTTATTTTTCAGTTGAAAACTCAAAGAAAAAGGTTATGTTCCAAAAGAAATTTTAAAAACTTTGAATGCTCTAGCATGGGGGCCTGAATTCTCAGGTGCCCCTACCAAAACAGAGGCCCTCTAAAGCATTCAGTCTCAGTGTGTCTATCTCAAAGAGAGCAGCTCTCTGCCTGGGCTTCTGAAGAGCTATCAGTTCCCCTCAAAGAACTTCCTGCCTCAGGAGATCCCTGGATCAGGCAGGGAATGCTAGGACCAGGCAGCTGAGAACATGGCTTCCTGTCCCCCTCCACACAGTCAGCGTTCTGAAGTGGTGGCTTCCCACATGGCTGTTGAATAAGTGAATAAATACCTTGGGCATGAACAGGAGCCGGATAGAGCTCTCTCTGCAGGGCTGGGACACGCTGGCCATGCTGTCTCTTGGTTTACAGTGGAGATGTGGAGGAAGGGAGGGGAATTACCCAGACCAGTGGGAGAGTTTCACGTCCTCAGAAGTATTTTGAGCCCAATGGCAAATAGCTCTTCTTCCCTGCATTTGAAGCACATGCCATTCTGAGTTTCCCAGCATTCCATGCTGGTTATTCTATCCCAGCCAAGAATCTTGCTCTTATCAAGGAGCTGGAATTAGAGTAGAAGGTGAAGGAGTTTGAAGTCTTGGGCAGCCTAGGGCTGGCTTAGACAAAATCTCAAACTGTAAAGAAGAGAGAAGTAAGGCCAGGCTATGGCCCCCAGAGGAGGGGGCCCCTGCTGTTTTCTGAAATAAATTATGCCGGGGCTCCTATTACAGCCCCTGGCCCTCCTTATTAAAAGGACAACTTTCCATCCACTCCCACCCATCTCCCTCTCCCCTTTCTGTAAGAGCAGCAGGGATGGGTTGATGAGTCCCTACACCTGCCAGGTCTTTGCAGGCAGTGGTGTTAGGCCCAGCCTGCTGAGTTCCTAGGAAATTGAACAAGCATCTATGGAGCACTCACTCCATGTCAGGCTCTGTCACCAGCACCCTGGAGACAGAAGACCAAGACATACTTCCCAGCCCAGGGGAGGGTGGAACCTTAGCACATGATGCATTGAGAGCTCAGGATGCATCCAACCCAAAGTGCAGGCTAAAGGGAACTCTCACTGTGTGGGTGGGATCTTCAGTACAGCTTGCAGTGGAGGCTGCTCTACTCTTTCCCCATCACGTGTGGTAGTCGAGGGCACAGACTGAACACTCAGAGCTACCAGGGTAAGGAAGAGTTCTTGTACCCCTCATCTGCTAGGAGAACTGCTTAAAAGATGGGATTTATTTAATTTTTTTGAGATGGAGTCTCACCCTGTCATGCAGGCTGGAGTGCAGTGGCTCACTGCAACCTCTGCCTCTGGGATCAAGCAATTCTGCCTCAGCCTCCTGAGCAGCTGAGATTACAGATGTCTGCCACCACACTCAGCTAATTTTTGTATTTTTAATAGAGATGGGTATGGCCAGGCTGGTCTCCAACTCTTGACCTCAAGTGATCGGCCTGCCAAAGTGCTGGGATTACAGGCATGAGCCACTGCACCCTGCTGTTAATTTCTGTGAGATCGAGTCTTGCTCTGTTGCCCAGGCTGGAGTGCAGTGGTACAGTATCAGCTCACTGCAACCTCTGCCTGATGGGTTCAAGTGATTCTCTGCCTCAGCCTCCTGAGTAGCTGGGACTACAGGCATGAGCCATCACGCCTGGCCAGGAAGTGCCCTTCCATCCCTCATCTGCTAAGAGAACTGTCTAAAAGATGGGCTTTAGGTGGCCTTTTCTGCCATCTCTTTCTACTACATTCTGGTTCTTTTTCAGTATGTAATTTTCAGTAATTAGTAAATTAGCTAATTGGCTAAATTAATTACCGAACAACAAATTTAGTTATTTTAGTAAATTTAGTAATTTTAATAATTTCTAGTTCCCTTCTGAAATCTATAATCTCTGTCTAATAAGCCTCCTATCTGAGTCCTGTAGGTCTGTGTCTATTATTGTCTGTCTGTGCTAGTTTTTACACTTAGAATTGTACCTCCCTAAGAGTGTTTTTTATAACTATGGTGTTCATAATCGTATCATCATGCCCAGCACAGAGGTGCTCAATAAATATACATTTCCAATGTCAAAAATTTTAAATGTGGTAAAACACAAAAAATTTACCATAACCATTTTAAAGTACATACTTCAGTGTAAGTACATTCATATTTTTGTGCAGCCAAACTCTGGAACTCACTAAATCCTGCCAAACTGAAACTCTCTCCCCATTAAATAAGCCATTACTGCTCTCTCCCAGCTCCTGGCTGCCTCCACTCTACTTTCTGTCTCTGTGAATCTGATTACTCTAGGTCTTTCACATAAGTGGAATCATACAGTATTTCTCTTTTTGTGACTGGCTTATTTCACTTTGCATAACGTCCTCAAGTTTCCTCCATGTGTTAGCATGTGTCAGAATTTCCTTCCTTTTTAAGGCTGAATAATGTTTGTACAGAGAGACCACATTTGTTTATCTGTCAGTGGGCACTTGGGTTGCTGGTGTCTTTTTGGCTGCTGTGAATAAGGAGACCAGCTCAGTCATGGAGACCCCCAACCCACGTGGTGCTGAAGGAATTAAGAAACAGAGATAGAGAACAAAGGTGGGTTCAGAGTGGAGTACCAGGGGTCTCACAGCGTTTCCAGCTGAAAGTCCAGAGCAAACTCTGACCTACGTGTTTATTCTTGACTTTCCAGTGACAACTTTTACAAGCGGATGCTCTGTGTCCTTTCGTTGGTTAACAGTAAACTAACCAGGCAGCTAGTGTGTGTTTACTATAGATAGGTTAAAGACAAATTAGAAAGTGCTCTTTACAAGGGAACAAAGGAAAGGGTCATATATACTGTGTTCAAAGAACTAATTCATCTGGCATGAGATATATTTATATTGGTTACTGTTTTATAGTATTTTGAGCAGTTTTCTGCTTTGGGGGCTGACTAGGTTTTCCTTGCCACCACTCTCTATAGGATTTCTCAGCAAACAATGTGATTTCTCACACACATCAGAATTTGCTCTCAACAACGCTGCTATGAACGTCAGTGTATAAATGTGTGAGGCCCTTTGAATTGTAGGGAGTACACACCCAGAAGTGGAAGTGCTGGATTATATGGTAATTTTTTGTTTTGAGACAGAGTCTTACTCTGTCACCCAGGTTTGAATGCAGTGGTGCAATCTTGGCTGACTGCAGCCTCTGTCTCCTGGGTTCAAGTGATTCTTATCCCTCAGCCTCCTGAGTAGCTGGAATTACAGCCTGCACCACCAAACCTGGCTAATTTTTGTGTTTTTTAGTAGAGATAGGGTTTCACCATGTTGGCCTGGCTGGTATCAAACTCCTGGCCTCAAGTGATTCACCTGCCCTGACCTTGCAAAGTTCTGGGATTACAAGTGTAAGCCACCATGCCTGGCCTATTTTTACCTTTTTGATGAATTGCCATACTGTTTTCCATAGCTGCAGCTCCATTTAAACTCCCAGTAAGAGTACACAAGGGTTTCAACTGCTCAGCATCCTCACTAACACTTGTTATTTTCTGTATTGATTACAGCCACCCTAATGAGTCTGAGGTGGCCTCTCCATGTAGGTTGTCTTCTTTTTTTGACATGGAGTTTCACTCTGTCAGCCGGCTAGAGTGCAGTGGTCCAATCCTGGCTCACTGCAACCTCCACCTCCCAGGTTCAAGCAATTCTTCTGCCTCAATCTCCTCAGCATCTGGGACTTCAGGCACGTGCCACCACACCCAGCTAATTTTTCTATTTTTAGTAGATTCATAGTGTTACCATGTCAGCCAGGCTGGTCTCAAACTCCTGCCTTTCGGAGTGCTGGGATTACAGGCATGAGCCAGCATGCCCAGCCTCTCCGTGTGGTTTTGGTTTGTTTCCCTAATAATTAGTGATGGCGAGAATCTTTTTAAGTGATGATTGGCCATTTGCATCTCTTATTTGGAGGACTGTCTATTCACATCCTTTGCATATTTCTGAACTTCGTTAGTTGGGTTTTTGTTGTTGCATTGTGAGAGTTCTTTATGTATTCTAGATGGGAACTCTGTCACATGTAATTTGCACTTCTGTCCTGTCATTCTGCAGGTTGCCTTTTCACTCTGTTAATAGTATCCTTTGATGCAATCCAATTTGTCTAATTTTCCTTTTGTTGTTTGGGCCTTTGGTGTCACATCCAAGAAATCACTGCCAAAGGAAGCTCTCCTTCTATGTTTTAAGAGTTGTTGGCTTGGAATGGTGGCTCACGCCTATAATCCCAGCACTTTGGGAGGCCGAAGTGGGTGAATCATGAGGTCAGAAGTTCAAGACCAGTCTGATCAAGATGCCCTGTCTCTACTAAAAATACAAAAATTAGCTAGGCATGGTGGTGGGTGCCTGTAATCCCAGCTACTTGGCAGGCTGAGGCAGAGAGTTGCTTGAACCCGGGAGCCGGAGGTTGCAGTGAGCCGAGATCATGCCACTGCACTCCAGCCTGGGCGAGAGAGTGAAACTCCATCTCAAAAAAACAAGAGTTGTATAATTTTAGATCTTACACTTGGGCCTTTGATTCATTGAGGTGTTTTTTTGTTTGTTTTTTAAACATGATATAAGGTAAGGCTTTAAGTTCATTCTTTTGCCTGTGGATATCTAGTTTTCCCACACCATTTGTTGAAAGACTGTCCCTTCCCTGATTGAAAAGTCTTGGCATCCTTATTGAACTCATTTGACCGTATGTGTAAGGGTTTCCTTCTGCACTCTGTATTCCATTCCACTGGTCTCTCTGTATGTCTTCACTGCCATACCACACTTTTGACCACTGTAGCATTTAATAATACATTTGGAAATTTGGAAGTAAAAGCTTCCAACTTTGCTATTCTTTTTCAAGATTGCTTTGGCCATTTGGGATTCCTTGAAATTGCATATAAACTTTACGCAATTTATAAGGGTAGATTTTTCTATAATTGAAGAAAAAATGTCACTGGGATTTTGAGGGCAATTACACTAAACCTGTAGATCACTTTGTGTCGTATTGACATCTTAATGAAACTAAGCCTTATAATTTATAAATACAAGATTTTTTGTATTTTACATTTGTTACACAACCAGTCTCTGGAGCTTTAAATTCTGCCAAAGTCTTTGCCTCCTGGTTAAGTTTATTCCTATTTTATTCTTTTTGATGCTATTGTAAACTGACTTTTTTCTTTTCTTTTTTTTAAGATGATGTCTCACTATGTTGCCCAGGCTGGAGTACACTGGCTATTCACAGGCATAATTGTTATAAAAACTGACAGCACTGACCTCTGAGGCTCAAGCAATTTTCCTGCCTCATTCTCCCAAGTAGCTGGGACTATAGGCATCCACAACCAAGCCAGCAGGAACTGTTTTCTTAATTTCCTTCTTGGATCATTGACTGTTAGTGTGTAGAAATACAACTGACTTTTGTATGTTGATTTCATAATCCTGAAACTTGGACAAATTGTTAGTTCTAACAGTTTATTTTGTGCAGTCTTCAGGATTTTCTACAAAGATGATCATGTCATTTGTTAATAGAGAAAATTTTACTTCTTCCTTTCCAATTTGGATGCCTTTTCTTTTTCCTTTCTTTCTTAATAGCTCTGGCTAGGATATCCAGTACTGTGAAAGCAGGCATCATTATTTTATTCCTCATCTTGGAAAACTTTGTCTCTCATCATTGAGAATGATATTAGCTGGAGGTTGTTCATATGACCTTTATTATGTTGAGGTTGTTTCAATTTCTAGTCAGTATGTTTTTAATCATGAAAGGATATTCAACTTCATTAAATGCTTTTTCTGTACTAATTGAAACAAATTGTCATGTTTTTTCTTTCCTTCATTCTGTTCATGTGGTATCTTACATTAATGTTTTTGTGGTAACCACCTTTGCATTCCAGGAATAGCACTCACTTGATCATGTTGTATAATTCATCTATGACACTGTTGAATTCTCCTTATTAGTGTTTTCTTGAGCACTTTTGCATGTGTATTGATCAGGGATAGTGGTGTGTTTTCTTCTGCTGCTTTGTCTGCCTTTGGTATCAGTAATGCTGGCCTCACAGAATGAGTTTGGAGGTACTCTTTTCTCAGGATTTTTGAAGATGAGCAGGATTGGTATTGGTTCTGTAAATGTTTGGTACAAGTCACCCTTGAAGCCATCTGTTCTTGTAATTTTCTTTCTTGTCAAGTTTTTGGTCACTGATTCAATCTCCTTGGTAGTTATAAGTCAGTTTTTCCATCTTCTATTTCATTTATTTCTGTTCTTTTTTGTTTTATTTATTTATTTATTTTTTCCATTTATTTTATTGCATTTTAGGTTTTGGGGTACATGTGAAGAACATGCAAGATTGTTGCATAGGTACACACGTGGCAGTGTGATTTGCTGCCTTCCTCCCCATCACCTACATCTGGCATCTCTCCCCTTGATATCTCCCCTCAGCTCCCCGCCCCCCACCGTCCCTCCCCTGTTTCCCCCCAACTGACCCCAGTGTGTAATGCTCCCCTCCCTGTGTCCATGTGTTCTCATTGTTCAACACCCACATATGAGTGAGAACACTCGGTGTTTGATCTTCTGCCCTTCCGTTAGTTTGCTGAGAATGATGGTTTCCATGTTCATCCATGTCCCTACAAAGGACACAAACTCATCGTTTTTGATGGCTGCATAATATTCCATGTGTATATGTGCCACATTTTCCCTGTCCAGTCTATCATCGATGGGCATTTGGGTTGGTTCCAGGTCTTTGCTATTGTAAACAGTGCTGCAATGAACATTCGTGTGCACGTGTCCTTATAGTAGAACAATTTATAATCCTTTAGATATATACCCACTAATGGGATTGCTGGGTCAAATGGAATTTCTATTTCTAGGTCCTTGAGGAATCACCACACTGTCTTCCACAATGGTTGAACTAATTTACACTCCCACCAACAGTGTAAAAGTGTTCCTATTTCTCCACATCCTCTCCAGCATCTGTTGTCTCTAGATTTTTTAATAATCGCCATTCTAACTGGCGTCAGATGGTATCTCAATGTAGTTTTGATTTGCATTTCTCTGATGATCAGTGATGATAAGCATTTTTTCATATGTTTGTTGGCCTCATGTATGTCTTTTGTAAAGTATCTGTTCATATCCTTTTCCCACTTTTAAATGGGCTTGTTTGTTTTTTTCTTGTAAATCTGTTTTAGTTCTTTGTAAATTCTGGATATCAGCCCTTTGTCAGATGGGTAAACTGCAAAAATTTTTTCCCATTCTGTTGGTTGCCGATTCACTCTAATGACTGTTTCTTTTGCCTTGCAGAAGCTGTGGAGTTTGATTAGGTCCCATTTGTCTATTTTGGCTTTTGTTGTCAATGCTTTTGGTGTTTTGGTCATGAAGTCCTTGCCTATGCCTATGTCCTGAATGGTTTTGCCTACATTTTCTTCTAGGGTTTTTATGGTGTTAGGTCTTATGTTTAAGTCTTTAATCCATCTGGAGTTAATTTTAGTATAAGGTATCAGGAAGGGGTCCAGTTTCTGCTTTCTGCACATGGCTAGCCAGTTTTTCCAGCACCGTTTATTAAACAGGGACTCCTTTCCCCATTGCTTGTTTTTGTCATGCTGTCAAAGATCAGACAGTTGTAGATGTGTTGTGCTGCCTCCGAGGCCTCTGTTCTGTTCCATTGGCCTATATCTCTGTTTTGGTACCAGTGCCATGCTGTTTTGATTACTGTACACTTGTAGTATAGTTTGAAGTCTGGTAGTGTGATGCCTCCCGCTTTGTTCTTTTTGCTTAGAATTGACTTGGCTAAGGGCCGGGCGCGGTGGCTCAAGCCTGTAATCCCAGCACTTTG